CCTCCGGAGGGCCAAGAACAGGGCAGAGGGGCTGAGGCCTTCCCCAGTTGTTGCCTCCTGGCTCTGGGATTCAGAGGATTAGTGCCTCTGAATGTGGAGGTTCCCCTCAGTCGCCATGGCTAGTAGCCATTGATAGACTGATCCTCCGTGAATCCATCTAACCCCCTTTCCAAGCTGTCTATTGCTGTGGCCATCACGACGTCCCGTGGCAGCGAACTCCACATTAGAATCACCAGAAGCATTTTTTCTGAGTTCTCTGATATGGAGAACTGAGAGAAGTGTTTTTGGATCCCAGAGCAGCGTTTTTAGCCTCCTTGAGCTCTGTAAGGAGGAAAGCCACATATGCGTAGAACCTTTTGGTGTTCTTCAGCAGCCAGAGAAGTGCCCTCTGCACATGCTCGGGTGTGCTTTTGGTAATTCCCAGGTGAAGCCCTGGCACAGTCGGCAAACGCTGGGGATTGAGCCGTTCAGTGGTCGTGCTGCAATTTCTGCCTCCTCCCAGAAAAAGGAGGAAGAGATTCTTTCTTTGGGGGAAAAAATCATCTGATTCCTGGTACTGCCACCTCTGGCTCTGTTGCCACTTGCTGACGGCTGTCGGGGTTTGCCCAGTGGAGCTATGCCTGGGCAGGGTAAGTGTGGTGTAGAAGCCGCACGTGGGCGGGGAAGCATAGCTCAGTAGGCAGACCTGTGCTTGCACATGGAAGCTTACACCCAGAATTAAACTTTCTTGGTCTTAAAGGTGCCAGTGGACTCAAACTTTGTTCAATAGTACTGAGTACTTTTTTGCAAGGGGGGAAATTCCAAATTCGGCCCCCCGCCATACAAGGAGATCAGGTGGGAGGACTGGGAAACACCCCTGCCCAAAACCCCTGAGAGTCCCTGAAATTAGCGTGTGACCTGATGCTGATGATGTGTGTTTGTGCAGGAGCTCATTAGCATAACTCATTAGCATAACTTATTTGCACATGCCACACCCCCTGACATCACCGGAAGTGTGTCAGAAGGCAACACCCACTGCAACTGACCTGGCTGTTTCTTGCTCCTCATGGCCCGGGGCTGCTGGGAGCAGGATAAATAGGTACCACTTCAATGCGAAGGCAACAGCGCTCTGTGCGCCTCGGCATTTAGTCATGCCGGCCACATGATCACAGAAAAGTCTTTGGAAAGCGCTGGCTCTTTGGCTTGGAAACTGAGATGAACAACGCCCCCTGGAGTCGAATTTGACTAGTTTTCGAGCAAGGGGAACCTTTACCTCTACCTTACAAACATCCTACCCTATCTGAAGATTGAGCAGTGACTCACCAAAGCTTATCCCCAGCCACAAATTTTGTTTGTTAAGACGCTGAACTGCAGACCGGAAGGTCTGTCGTTCGGCAGTTCGAGACCCGAGCGCCACATGACGGAGTGAGCTCCCATCTCTGGCCCCAGCTCCTGCCAACCTAGCAGTTTGAAAGCAAGAAATTGCCAGTAGATAAATAGGTAACACTTCAATGCGAAGGCAACAGTGCTCCGTGCGCCTCGGCATTTAGTCATGATCACAGAAAAGTCTTTGGAAAGCGCTGGCTCTTTGGCTTGGAAACTGAGATGAACAACGCCCCCTGGAGTCGAATTTGACTAGTTTTCGAGCAAGGGGAACCTTTACCTCTACCTTACAAACATCCTACCCTATCTGAAGAAGTGAGCAGTGATTTACAAAAGCTCCTGCGCTGCCACAAATTTTGTTAAGTCTTTAAGGAGTCGCTGGACTCTTGCTCTTTTCTACTGCAACGGACAGACTGACACGGCTACCCATCTTGCTCTGTCTGAAGAAGTGAGCCGTGACTCTCAAAAGCTCTGACCCCGCCACAAATTTTTTTTGTCGTCTTGAAGGTGCTCCTGGACTCTGGCTCTTTTCTCCTGCTACAGACAGACGAACAGGGCCGCCCATCCTGATCTGTCCTACCCTGAACAGAATTGCTCCGGTCTTGCAAGCTGAAGGCCGTGGCTTCTTTCTTGAGTCACGGACTAAAAATAAAAACAGCAAACTCAGCCTAGCTAGCTGTTTATAAATAAATTAAAGCGATCGGTTTTCAAGCCACGATTCTTTCAGTTTGGGAGAGACAGCAGGGGTAGTCCTGCAATCCTGCTAGGTGTTATGCTAGGTCAGTGCCTTGGGCCGATCTGTGCCCGGAAAGGGGGTGTTTTTCGTTTCACACGGAGTAAGGCATGGCAGAAGATTTGTAGGAAACTTAGGAAGCAATCATAAATGTAATGTATTCAATAGCTGCCATTGAATGCACAACTGTATGCGAACAACATAATTGAAATGCTATGTTAAGCTTCATCCTGGGCTAGAATCCAAATACATCCAATCACATTGCTAGCCCAGGAAGCACCTAACCAATCACTATCAGCAAGCTCCCTGAGCGGGAACGTCCGTGATTGGTCCTTATGCACACAACCTTATTGGTTGGTAATTGTACAGTAGGCGTGGCTACATTAGGCGGGAGAGTTTAAAAGCAGGACAGCTGCAATGTAAAAGCTGTTCTGGCTATCAGATGTTGATCCGTGTTGGAGTTGTGTTTGAGTTGCGGAACAAAGCTGAATCTTTGCTGAATCACTCTCCGACTCCTTTGTTAAGTGAGCGACTTAACAATAAACAGGGTCTGCTCTGCACTCAATCCCTGTCTGTTCCACTGGGGTTTAATTCCAGGAAATTGCCTTTAGGATTGCGGTTTTAGGGACCCGAAAAGGCAACAGCTATACAAAGGGGAACAGGAAGCAACAGTCTCTCCCCGAGACAAAACTGATTTCAAACCTGTCTCGAGCCGATGCTCTTCTCTTTCTTCACCCTTTCCTTCTTAAAAATGTTTCCCCACCTCGTGGAGTCCGCCAGAATTTCACGATCTTCACAGTTTGATATCCCTTTACGGCTCGTATAAAAATTCAGTTCTGAAAGGGTTTTTTTGGTTTCGTTTTGTTATATTAAGGTGGGTCGCCATGTTGGTCCGAAGCAAGAGTTTGAATGCAGTGGCACCTTTAAGACCAACAAAGTTTGATTTTGGGTATGCGCGTGCGCACGCAAGCCGATACCCAGAATTAAACTGTCTTAAGGGTGGCGCTGGACTCAAACCTTGGTTCTCTTTGTTGTTGTTAGTCAGTGATGTTTCAGAGGGTGGATTCCATGGCATTGCATCCCTCTATATTACATTCCTCCACCGGAATCTCACTGTTTAAGATTCCCTTTCATGGGTGAACTTTTTCAATGCAAACGGAGATATTTTTTGGTTTGTAAATGATGGTTGTTAGAGAAGTTCCGGCAGTAAAGAGCCCAGGGGGCAGGCACATGCAACAAGCCCCACCCCCTGCTCCCAGCAGCCCTCAGTCAGAGCAAGAAGCAGCCAGGTGGGTTACAGAGCCCCCCCCGGCCCCAAACAGTCCAGTGGCACCTTTAAGACCAAGTTTTATTCAGGTACAAGCTCTCCCTCCTCTGTGAGGACAGATCTGCACGTTCCCCCCACCCCCCAATAGCTAGCAGTCCAAAACAGTCCAGTGGAGCCTGAGCGGTGGGTGTTGCCTTCTGACACACTTCCGGTGATGTCAGGGGGTGTGGCATATGCAAATAGCTTATGCTAATGAGTCATGCTAATGAGGTCCTGCACCTCTTTTTCTACGAAATGACCCCTGGTTACTAGTGATGGTAACTAGAGGTACAAGCTCTCCCTCCTCTGCAAGGACAGATCTGCACGTTCCCCCTCGCCCAATAGCTAGCAATCCAAAACAGTCCAGTGGGGCCTTTAAGACCAAGTTTTATCCAGGTACAAGCTCTCCCTCCTCTGCGAGGACAGATCTGTGCGTTCCCCCCCCCCAATAGCTAGCAATCCAAAACAGTCCAGTGGGGCCTTTAAGACCAAGTTTTATCCAGGTACAAGCTCTCCCTCCTCTGCGAGGACAGATCTGTGCGTTCCCCCCCCCCAATAGCTAGCAATCCAAAACAGTCCAGTGGAGCCTGAGCGGTGGGTGTTGCCTTCTGACACACTTCCAGTGGTGTCAGGGGGGGTGTCATATGCAAATGAATTGTGCTATTGAGTTATGCTAATGAGCTCCTGCACCTCTTTTTCTATGAAATGACCCCTGCCTGTGATGTGTGATTGTGCTTTTAGAGGTTCAAGAGCAACCCTTTGTGAGTGCCTGGCCGCTTCAGAGGGTGAACTGTATGGCATCGCATCCCTCTTTATGATGTTCCTCCACCACAGTTTCGCTGTTTAAGATTCCCTTTTATGGATGATTTTTTAAAATGCAAACGGAGGTATTTTTTGTTTGTCAATTATGTTTGTTAGAGAACTCATGTGGCGTGTGTTTGTGCTTTTAGGAGCTCAAGAGCAACCCTTTGTGAGTGCCTGGCCAGAAAACCCCGTGGTGGAGTTTGGGAATTCCTTGGTGCTAAACTGCAGCACTGGCTGCCGGAATGTGCTCTCCGGCGGCCTGGAGACCAACCTGGATAAGGAGATCGCGGGAGAGGGACGGGCGTGGAAAGCTTTCCAGCTGGTCAACGTCAGCTCCTGGGATCCGGCTCCTTCGTGCTACTTCGACTGTGCGGATGCTGCGGACATGAAGCCCCATCGGGTGAACTTCACTGTTTATCGTAAGTCCGGTGCTGGGATTGTACGCGAGGGAGCAACAGTTTGGGTTAGTGGCTGCGGACTCTAATCTGGGAGAACGGGGTTTGGTTCCCCACTCCTCCACATGCAGCTGCTGGGGTGACCTTAAGAAACATAAGAACATAAGAGAAGCCAGGGTTGGATCAGGCCAGTGGCCCATCCAGTCCAGCACTCTGTGTCACACAGTGGCCAGAAATACCAGGTGCCATCAGGAGGTCCAGCAGTGGGGCCAGGACACTAGAAGCCCTCCCACTGTTGACCCCCCCCAAGCACCAAGGATACAGAGCATCCCTTGCCCCGTACCGAGAGTTCCTATCTATAGCTTGTGGCTAATAGCCACTGATGGACCTCTGCTCCAGATGCTTATCTAATTGCCTTTTGAAGCCGTCCATGCTTATAGCCACCACCTTCTGTAACAATGAGTTCCATGTGTTAATCACTCTTTGGGTGAAGAAGGACTTCCTTTTAGCTGTTCTAACCCGACCGCTCAGCAATTTCATAGAGTGCCCACGAGTTCTTGTACTGTGAGAAAGAGAGAAAAGTACTTCTTTATCTGCCTGTCTCTACCTTGGGTCAGTCACAAGTTCTCTCAGAACTGTTCTCTCACAAGCAGTCCTCGAAAGAGCTCTCTCAGCCCCACCTACCTCACAGGGTGTCTGTTGCGGGGAGGGGAAGGGAAAGGAGTTTGTAAGCCGCTCTGAGACTCCTTTGGGTAGTGAAGGGCAGGGTATAAATCCAATCTCTTCTCTCTTCTTCTCTTCTGGGTTCTGCTTATCTTGTAGTAAGATGGAGACGGCTCAACCAGACATCAGGACTCTCCCCTTAAAGGCTGGGATTTCCCATTGTGTGGGTGCCCCTGGGCTACGCCCGACTGGGAACATTTTCAAACAATTGAAGAACTATTATTGGGGGGGGCGAGTTCCCAGTCGAAGGTTCAGACGGATTAGGCAGAAGAGGCTCTTTTAGGGAAAAGGCACTGATGAAACTAGGGCCTCTTGAGGCGCAAGGCCTTCTAAGTCACTGCTTCATCTAGAGAGGGGTCCCCAACTCGGTGCCCATGGGCGCTGTGGCACCTTGCTGTCAACTTTTCTGGTGCCCACCAGGTGCATCTGGAACGTCAGTGTGGCCAGGTAGGTGTAGTGGTTAGTAGCTCACACTAAG